CAGACAGCTTTATCTCTTAACTTTATTATGCATAAATGGCGTAAACTCCTTACAATGGCACAACCTGGTCATCTAAGTGAGTTACATTTTTTAAGAAGTCTGAGAAGATATGCATCTCCTTTGGCTCCTGAAGTTAAGAACATACTGCAGTTAAATGGGATTCTTCGACTCAGATCTCGCCCAAGGGGTAAGAAAGCTGGGAAAAAATATATTCGTTCAATATTTACAATTGTTGGAAATCGCCCTACTTCTTGTGGAACTGCTGTGGATCTTAAAAGACAGCCAACTGGGCAAAAAATGTATTTATCTCACTGTTGTTACCAACCTAAGAACTTAATTCATATCAAGACAAACCAACACAAGTCAATACCATCTATGCCTGGTTTTCTCCTTTCTAATGTGCGTTCTTTACGCTACAAATGTGATGAGCTGCACAGTGTAGCACTGAATAATAACTCAGCAGTTGTCGCTGTTTCAGAGACTTGGCTGAATGATGGTATCCCAGATTCAATTGTAACTTTTCCTGGATATACAATACATCGGCGGGATCGTAAAGGAGGTGGGGGAGGAGGAGTTGCCTTGTATGTTTGTAACATCATCAAACAAATTCGACTGACTCATCTAGAAGAGGAAGAGCATGAAGCTTTGTGGGTCTGGTTATGTCCCAGTCGTCTTCCTCGAGGGTTAAGTTGTATTATTGCTGCTGTTATATTTTCCACCACGCTCTTCTGCATCAGCCCAACCTGATTTACTAATCTCACAGTATTTGGATCGTTGTCTCAGATATATTGAATGTAACTATCAGCAGGCTGCAATTATACTTGGTGATACAAATAAGTACAAGTCTGAAACCATCTGCAGCAGACATGTTTTGAAACAAATTGTGGCTGGAGCAACAAGAAAGGCTAGTCAACTAGACTCTATATATACCAATATTTTCTCCATGTATCAGAAACCAGAGCATTTGCCTCCTGTTGGCTCTTCTGACCATCAGACTATCTTCCTAAATGCAGGAAGCTGGCCCACCAAGCCTATTAAACATATTTTTTGCAGAAAACGTACCCCTGAGACAATCAGGGAACTGGGCCTCCTTATGAACACTACGGATTTTTCTCACATTCACGAAGTTATGGATCCTGAGGCTAAGGTTGGTGCCTTTACTTCCACTATCATAGCTATTCTGGATAAAACAGTTCCATTAAGGAAAGTCTCTATCACAAACACAGATAAGCCTTGGATGACTGTTCAAACTAAAGATTTGCTAAAAGAAAGGCAGTGTGCTTTTTGTTCTGGCGAAAAATCCTCTTATAGGAAGTTAAAATCAATCATTGCCAAAAAAATCAAGAACGCAAAGAAACAATATTACCAGCATGAGGTGGAGGAACTGCAATGCTCCAAGCCAAAACAATGGTTTAAGTCAATGAAGAATTTAATGGGGATGGAAGGAGATAAGAGTGACATGGTGTCTCAGGATCAAAACATCATGCAACGTGAGTGTAATACTCTGGCTAGGCACTTTGCTTCTGTGTGGAATTATGCGAACCACATTTCTTTGTCTGAGGAAGAAGTTACCCGCAAGTTGTCAAATTGTAGTGTACCTCCTCTGAGTATTGGACAAGTTAAGACTAGACTCCGTAAAGTGAATGCAGCCAAGGCTGCTGGTCCCGACTGCGTTCCTCCTTGGGTGCTAAATACTTTTCATGAAGAGTTGGCACCGGTGTTATTTGACATCTTCAATACATGCATTCAGCACAACATTTTTCCAAAACAATGGAAGGAGGCTGTAGTCAAAGCTGTTCCTAAAAAAGCAAAGCCTAGTTTTCCAGCAGATTATCGCCAGATTTCACTACTCAGCTGTGTTGGAAAGGTGTTTGAAGGAATCCTCAGAGATGCCATTCTGGAGGATACAGTTACTAAGATCGAACCATCACAACATGGCTTTATGAGGAACAGATCAACTGACACTGCCTTGATTCAAATTCTGCAGCACTGGCATGAAGCACTTAACAGCTCCCCCAAAATGGATATACATGCTGTTTTTGTTGACTTCACTCGACTGCTACATTCCTTAGCTGACTTGCATGTTAGACGACCCCTTTGACTTATTGTAAGGAGCTATCTGAGTAACAGAGAGCAGAGGGTGAAGTGGAGCTCCTGTGTGTCTAACTCCTTTCCAGTTTCAGCTGGTGTTTCTCAAGGGGGACTTCTATCCCCTCTGCTTTTTGTCATATGCATAAATAGCCTGGATTAATATCTGCCTCCTTCGGTAATACCTGTGAAATATGCTGATGATCTAACAATCACAGAGTTTCTACTGCTACATTCCTTAGCTGACTTGCATGTTAGACGACCCCTTTGACTTATTGTAAGGAGCTATCTGAGTAACAGAGAGCAGAGGGTGAAGTGGAGCTCCTGTGTGTCTAACTCCTTTCCAGTTTCAGCTGGTGTTTCTCAAGGGGGACTTCTATCCCCTCTGCTTTTTGTCATATGCATAAATAGCCTGGATTAATATCTGCCTCCTTCGGTAATACCTGTGAAATATGCTGATGATCTAACAATCACAGAGTTTCTAATGGGATCTGTACCTGGACTCACTCAGAAGGCCTTGGACTCTGTAGTGGAATGGGGACAGGAATTTACACTGGCAATGAATGAAGTTAAGACTATGGACATGGTAATTAGTGCCAGGAGAGAGGACAACATTCCCTCCCCTCCCTCTCCTGTTATCTCAGGACATGCAATTAGTAGAGTTTCCACCTTTAAATTGCTTGGAGTTCAAATATCCTCTGACTTGTCATGGGATGCCCACATTAAGTACATTATTTCGAAGGTGCGCCCCAGAATATACTATCTTTGCGCTGCAAAAAAAGCGGGTCTTCCTTGTGATGTTTTGGTACAAGTATATTTGACTTTTATACGGCCAGTTCTCGAATATGCTAGTCCAGTATGGGGTGGTCTACCTAAAGGTCTCTCTGAGGAATTAGAGAGGATCCAAAAGCGATGCTGTCAGTTAATAGGCATTCCGACTTCAACTCTCCCAACACTGAGTGAGAGGCGTGAGGAAGCCACCATACGTACGCTTACTAAAACACTCAAGGACAGTTCATCACCATTGCATTGTTTCCTGCCTATGGCTCCAACACCTACTTATTCTCTTCGGCGGCACAAGACATTTGTTGTACCCAGGAGTAAAACCAAACGTCATGAACTCTCCTTTATTCCCCGTGCTCTAAATTTGTTGTTTGGATAACTTACAGGTCCTTGATTAGGATGCCTTTTCTGTGAATCTGTGTTATTCATATATATGTATGTGTGTGTGTATGTGTATGTATATGTGTATAAATATATATACTGTATATATATATATATATATATATATATATATATATATATATATATATATATATATTAGCACATTTTTTTATTATTTTTTTTTATTTATTATGATTGTATATCAGTTATCTTTTATTTTTTTATACTAAGTAATGATTGTCTTGGAGTATGTGTATGTTTGGCACATTTCAGGGTTTTGTGTCGCAATATCCTGTCATGTCAAACTTTAAATAAAACTAAACTACACTAAACTAAACTAAAGCAACATCAGCATAGTTGTTCAAGCATTTTTATCAAGTAATCATTTTCATAACAGTTTTTCCAACCCAGTTTCTTCATTACTCCGTGAGATAAAATGGAAACCTGCTGAATACAGAAAAAAATGTTACCAGTTGCTGAAGAGGTGGTGGTTGTTGTACACTATATGCATTCTTGGTCCTGAGGGTGTCATAAGCACATTTCTGAAAGCACGCACATACAACACGTGTTGTTTCTAGCAAACTCCCCTATTAGATTTGGTTGGGAGGGACGTATAGTTTCAATAATGGGGATGGAAGGAGATAAGAGTGACATGGTGTCTCAGGATCAAAACATCATGCAACGTGAGTGTAATACTCTGGCTAGGCACTTTGCTTCTGTGTGGAATTATGCGAACCACATTTCTTTGTCTGAGGAAGAAGTTACCCGCAAGTTGTCAAATTGTAGTGTACCTCCTCTGAGTATTGGACAAGTTAAGACTAGACTCCGTAAAGTGAATGTTTACAAGTTCAATAAATAGTGATCTATCAGAGCTAATCATTATTCAATCAGACACTCTTCACAGACAGCTGGTGTGTAAGAATATTCATACTTTTGTATAAATTTGGGTCTTGAAATTGTTTGAAAAAAAACAACAACAACTCTGAAGTAATGTATTATTTTGTTGCTATTAGATCTTCTGTGAGGTTCAATCCAGCAGTCCAGGTGAGCTGATTTCATGTTAATAAAAAAAATTAAAAAAATATATAAATATTATTTACATTCTAAAAGGAGAAAGTTTCAGGTAATTAACTGTTTTAGATGATTTTGGTTATATTTGTTTCAGATGTTTAACATAATGAATTGTTGTTAAAATGATTCAATTAATTGATTAATCATAAACGTTAATAGCACAAAACAGATGTAGAGGACACCAAAAACAATGTGTGCACCACCTTACTTTAAAATGATAGTCAATTAAGTTATGACTACTACGCCAGATGTAAACGGCCACAGATTTGCCAGTTTCAAAATCCTGTGCAATACATCCATTACTATTAAACTTTTGGTCTACATGACATTTGTATTATTTAAAAAATAAAAAGGTCAAATATAAAGGATTTAATTACCTGTAAAAAGTCTTTTTAACAAAAAGAAAACGGGATTCCAACTGTTTAAAGCTATTTCAAAGTGATAAACTACATACAGTTATTGAAGTACTAAGCAGTCACCCTCATTTTATTATTGGAAAGTTTTGCTGTTTTGCGGTATGAGTGCATATTTGGGGTTAATGCAGTGGTGTCCAGACTTGTTCTTGAAGAGCTACTGTTCTGCAGAGTTTAACTTAATTAAGCTAAGGGTTTAAACCCTAATTAAACACACCTGATTCAGCTAATCGGGGTCACTAGAAACGTCCAGGCAAGTGTGTTCGAGCTGGTTGGCCCTCCAGGAGTAGGATTGGACACTCCTGGGTAAATGCATAATGCATGTATGTATGTGTGCAAGTGGCAAATCTGTCAACTCTCCTCTGGCCATCGGGCAGTTATTGTCGAGCTCTGATCGATAAGGATCTAATATGTTGGGTTGGCAGTTTAAATTAAATATATGCATTCGTTTCTCATTTTAACTTTTGGATAAGGAAAGTAAAGAGTGGACTTAAAAGATTTCCTATCCTGTGACTTCATCTAGTGGACAGCATTTCAGCTTTTATTGCTCAGCCAATGTAAGTCTATGGGATTTTTGATTGTCAATTCCGACCAGTGAGAAAATACATAGCAACAAACTACAGAAGGTCTTTGCCGAGATTGATCCTTGTAACATTAAAGCAGGAGGAGATAGTCAAAAAAAAAATGTCTCATAGGAATAAGTTTATATAGCTTTGTCAAGTCAACATAATTAAAAGATTGATTGTATTTGTTTTAGCAAGTCATTTATTAATTTAATAACTTTCCTATAATTACATTTATTTATAAATTTACAGGTTTAGTCCTCCATAATAACTGAATTATTATGTTTCAAAATGTTCATGGCAAGACGAGAAGCTTCAATGCTTTTTTCAATGCGTTTTGATGTTAAGAATTAATATTATTATAATGGTCTATAAGCAAAATATGTGATGCACTTGTGATCAGTTACATGCTATATACTTATATTGTCTGAATGAGACCTTTGTGGAGAAACTTGACTATAAACAAAAAATAATTTTGAATGTTTTGTGCTATATTTTAACTCACAGTCACAGCTTTCAGCTTTCAAACTATGCAATTTCCCCCCCATCAAATTCAAACAAAGGATGTTGAATTGATGAATGAGCATTAGTTGGGGTATTAAACTTTTATTATTATTATTTAAATATTGCTTGTTTTGATCATAGTCAACAGCACAATCTGTCTTTATCCCAGATATTAATAATGTGTTCCCAAGATGTTTGATCTGCTAAGCAACAGCATCTTTAAGCCAATGTGAATCAGACCTGCAACACTACTGTAACTGAATCACTTTTACCTATCCAGTATCTTCGTACATGATTTTAGACATTCTTTAACAAATCTTCCAGTGTTGAAACAGTTATTTTAAAAAAAGTACAATACAGTTGATGAAAAATACTTGTCCAGGAACTAGTTTGTGATTGGGTCAGTGTTTAAGTTTAAATTAACTGATGCATTCATTTCTATTACATTAACAACATGTACATCCTGATTAATATGGGAAATTGCTCATATTCCAGTTTTGTGGGGAAATAATAAATAAAAATAAATAAAAAAACATCTGAATGAATGTAATTATTATAAATTGTTGTGTGTGTGTCTGTTTAGCAGATTACTGAGCAGTTGTGTAGAGCTTCAGTGAGTTGGAGACATGGGTGACTTCCCGGTGAGTTAAACATTTGTTCTAGCATTTTACATGGGAGTGAAAAAATTATTTACCTGCAATCATTTCATTGTAATGTGTAAGAAAAATAAATAAAGTATTTAAAATCTATACCCAGATAGCAAAATTCCTGAGGCCCAGATCAGGCGCGCACCTGACACTTTCATCTGGCCCACATACTGCATGGAATGATAGCACCTGGGCGGTCCGCTCCTATTTGCCAGATTTGGGCCACGAGCAAGCCAAAATAAGGCTCAATGTCAGCCATGAATAAACCAAATAAAGCAGAACCTGCCCAAATCTGGGCCACATTGATTTTAATTCTGGCCCAGATCCAACACCTTTCTCCGGCCCAAATACTGTGAAGAATGATGGCACTTGGGCGGTTCGCTCCTGTTTGCCAGATTTGGGCCACAAGCAAGGCATAGGTAGGCTGCATGTCATCCATGAAAATAAATAAATGAAATAAAGTAGAACTGGCCCAAATCTGGGCCACATTTATTTTAGGGTGTTTTCACACCTGTAGATCGATTGCTTTGTTCCGAAACAGGGATTAAAATTATTACAATGTTGCTTTTTATTCTTAGTGCGGCTCGCTTTCACACAGCAATGTTTCTAAACTGAACAAATTTGTTAATACAAGTCACGCACGAGTAAACTGTCCTCTCATTGGTCAAAGTTTCACAGTTTATTTTCCGGGATTCCACTGAGCTGTCACAGCTGTCATCCGTCAGGATGGAACGACAACAGCTTCACGGGCTTATTGTTGTTTTTGTTTTTTTTGTAAATGTCGTTATATTAATTTATCACTTTGAGCAGGAGTCCAGGATTGATCGGGAAAACATTTTTAAAATGCACATACTAGGAAGAAGAGCAAGACGGCATTATAAAATAAAAAAGTGCGCTTTGATTTTGAATGGCGAAGACGTGCTCACCCACAGATAGGTTCATTTTGAAGTATTAGCAAAACAACAAAGCTAATGCTTTTCACGGAACTTACGTAATTACCCATTATACTTTGTGATTAGGGCTGGACGATATGGCCAAAATTTATATCACGGTATATTTCTTAATTTCGGTCGATACGATATAATTCCGATATCGATATGAACACTATTTATCTGAAATAGAAATCTTTTGTAACATTATAAATGCCTTTATCATCACTTTTGATCAATTTTAAGCATCCTTGCTAAATAAAAGTATTGATTTCTATAATTTATTTACCAAAAAAATTGGATCTTTCTATTCTTTGGATCTTTCTATTCATCAAAGAATCCTGAAAAAAAATGTACTCAACTGTTTTAAATATTGATAATCAGCAAATCAGCATATTAGAATGATTTCTGAAGATCATGTAACACTGAAGACTGCAGTAATGATGCTGAAAATGTAGCTATGTATGATCACAGGAATAAATTAAATTTTAAAATCTATTCAAATAGAAAGCAATTTTAAATAGTAAAAATATTTCAACATTTTACTGTTTTTGCTGTACTTTGGATGAAATAAATGCAGCCTTGTTGAGCAGAGGAGAATTCTTAAAAAAAAAAAACCCGCATTAAAAATCTTACTGTTCAAAAACTTTTGACTGGTAGTGTAGGCTGATTATTCTTATAGATTGAAACAAATGTGCTTCAGCCAGAAAAAAGGGTATGAAAAGTGCTCCGAGTCGCTGCAGAAAACAAAAAAAATGTGATTATATATGAAATATTAATAACTACTAACGTCTCTAGGTTACGTATGTAACCATGGTTCCCCGAGGGAACGAGACGCTGCGTCGAGTCGCTTTGGGAACGCCCTTGCGTGACCGCGTTCTGAAGCACGTGTCAAATCCGTCCAATGGAGCAGCGAGACGTCACGAGCAGGGTGACGTAAGCACCAGAAAGCATAAAGGCACATCCGGCCGGGCGCAAACCAGCTTCGATGAAGTAGCGCCTGCAGGGATGCAGGGAGTATGGCAAAGAGACGCAGCGTCTCGTTCCCTCGGG